ACCGTTAATAGTTGAAGTAATGCGTTTTTTCGTAACAAATTGTGTGATTGACAGCTTAGACTCCATACGAGAACGAATACGAGTTAGAGTATTGAAAACATCAAAGAGCACTCGTGCATCCAGTGCTGCCAACTTGATGCAATTCAATGCAATGCGGTATAGAACTACTGTAAGCAAACATACAAATAGGAATGGCGATGTCTGTAATGCGATAAACCCGTTTGACTCATGCTTCAGGCCGCTTGCCTCTTGCTATTTGGTCCTTGCCTGCCCCTTTTGAAGATCCGAATCCTTACTCGATGCCCTTTCATTTGCGTAATTACATTGGCGTATTTTCAAACAACAATTAGCGCGTGTTGGCAACTCTGGCTGTAGGACGCGACTCGTTTACAAAACGGTGCAAAACTACTGCGTTAATGTTGGAGGTCAGAGATTGCAGAAAAGCAGGTGGAGGGCGGCTGGCGGTGGCGTGTGTCATGTGGCGCATGGCGGATGGCGGGTGGCAGGCTGTGGCAATATCATCAATCATGCATTTGAAAAGTTTATTGAAGAGAGTGTGTGTCTGTGTGGGTGTGTGATAGAAAGAGATACAGAGAGAGTAAGACAAGGGCGATTCGCCAGAGTACTTTAGCGCTAAAAGTTTTCAATGGCTTTGGCGATTGCTGGCTAACAAACTAAGTCGGACAAATATTGAAGCAAAGTTTATGCAACTGCACATACTGACACACACACACCCATACAAGCACACACACACTCACATATAAACGCATATAAATTTGCCTTAATTTGGACATGAAAGTTAACGAATTCGCTGATCGCATTTCAATGACAAAAGTAGGCCGAAATTTTACAAGCATGCGAAAATGGATGAGCTCACTAGAAAGTACTGAAAGGATTTTTTTGTTATTGTCGCTCTTGCTGTTGTTGTTGTTGTGCTTCCTCTTCGCTCTTGTAGCTGTGAAAGTTTTTACATTGATTTGTCGATGATTTTCACTTTCGGCTTATAGACTCGCATAGCCTGCAATAATGCACTGCGCAAACCCTCCAATCCACTCTGTTTCTCTCTCTCTCTCTCTCTCTCTCTCTATATATATATATATATATATATATTGTTTTCTCTCTATCTTCCTCTCTGTGTGCATATTTGTGTGTATGTGTATTTTCATAAATTTTCAATAACAATGGCAGGCCAAGTGGTTAACAATGGCCACCCATTGTGAATTTATGGCCCACAATTCGCTCAAGAAATTTTAATAAATTGCCGCTGCTATAAGATATCCAAAGATGGATTAAGATTTTCAAGCCAAGTCGTGCAAGTGCGATCAAATACAAAATGAGCGCTTGCATTGTTTGGGATTGGCTTAGACCCACAATTGCAATATTTATTGCAATGAAGCTGGAGCACAAATCGATGCTAAAAGGACCTAAAGCAGGAATCCAAGGGACTTGGGAAATTGATGTGCAAGAATGCATATCAAGAAATTTAGTGCATCCTTTTTAGATGTAACCGCATTCGTCTACAGAGGGCTAACTTAAATATAAGATTCAAAGTAAATAAGTATGTTAGAGTATGTTGCTTGTGAAGATACCCGTTCTTCACTTTCCCTTTATGGCGAGAACATAAAGTTAATGCAAGTGCTGTACGAAATTGCCCATTATAGCTAGAACGTCGGCGCACAGTTAGGTGGTACGTTCTAAGTGCGTTTATCTCGCATAGTCTAACTCTGTCGCTCCCACATTTCATCTATCTATGCTGCTGGCCTGCTTGTGTTTGTTAAGTTGCGCGTAGACGACAGCGTCGCTGCTACTAGTTATGAATCATGCCAAAAATTGTGACGTCGACGCTGGCGACCCAAATTCTGATACTTGCTGCACGTGAGGCGGACAGACCACAACAACAAAAGCAACTGTAACGACAGCAACGATGACGACGACGACTATGCTGGCCATGAAGGAAACGTTGCAGACATTGCAGACTACCGACTGCAGACTGCAGACTGCAGACTGCGACTGCGACTGCGATAGAGACAGCGACTGCAATGAATTTGTCGCACTGCCAGTGCTCAAAAGTGGTCGTTTTGAGCGTTTGGGTCTGGTGCAAGCCCCATTTTGCAAGTGGCGTCGTCTTAGTACTTCACTTTTCCATATTAAAGCCACGTAAGTGCAGCCACCGGGGCGTGGCAATTGCATTACAAATGGACGAGGGGAGTGGGAATGTGCAAAATGTACCCCTCACAATACCCCACACCCACCCCTGCGACAACCACTACCCCGTCGCTGCAACCACATTTCCGTAGCGCAGTAGATATAAAAGTTGGACAGCTAAGAAGTGAGATATGGCAAAAATAAAAAAAAAAACAATGCAAAGCTGACACACTCTGTGTTTCAGTTGCATACTGATAACATTATGATAATGCACTTTGAAATAATGATTATTACATTAGACTTCGGTTTAAATAGATTTGAAAATATTCTAGCCTCAGCTAATGGCCGGGTTTCATTGGTTAACAGTTACAGCGCATACTTCTCTCCTATTGTATAAATGTAATTTTATTAGTTATGATTGATATTTGATGATGGCCTCGACTCAGCTCTAGCATTAGTTTCCGACTGAATTTTAACCAGATATCAGATATTATATGTCAAAATATTAGGATATTTTCTTCAGTACAGTGTAATCGCATAAAAAGAAGTCGCCTTTGGCAGTGGGAAAGTGCTTTGAATTGTCGTCTGGCTGCTGCTGCTCCTGCTACTGTTGCTACAGTTAAGCGCGTTACTCGAACCTCCACCTAGAAACCACACTCCCCTTGGAGAGTACGTGTGCTTGTTTGCTTGAATATGTGTGTTTGTTGGGTTCGCTTAATGGCCACAACGCGGAAACTGGAGCGTGCCAACGTGATGGCGACGCTGTAAGGATTGCTGCAGTTGTTGCTGTTGCATTAGCAGCCGTTTGCAGCAGAAATTGATGCGCTCCGTTTGTGTGTGTGTTTGTGTGTGCGTTGTGCTTTAGTGCTATTTATTTATGTTTGTTGCGTTGTCTGCTGGGCAACCAAAATAATGACATGAAAAATTGTGTTGACTGCTTTTGGGCGCTGTAGTTGTAATTCTTATTGTTGAGACTGAGGCAGGCTCCAAGACACAAGTACTGCCGGCCATGCTTTTCATGTTACTCAAAATTTATGGCTTTTTAAATCGAAAGAAATTCGAAGCTTGCCACAATTGCGGTAAACGCAACGACTGGACGAGCGGTAAATGCGCGTATGAATGAACTCAAGAAAAACAGCAGCAACACCAAGAAGAACAAGCATTTCGGCAAACATTCCAGATATATGAAGACTTTTGCATTCTTATTTACGATGCGAAAACAAACAAATGTATAAGCATGTTCATAAATTCGTTTTCGGTTCAGGTCATTGCGGGCAGTGCGGCTCTTTGTTGGCTGACCCCAAAGACAAGGCTTTTCTTTAATTGTAGTCCAGCTTCAGTTTTAGTTTCTCTCAGTTGTCAGTTTCGGTTTCGGTTTCAGTTTTAGCCGCAAATGTTGCCGCGCCATTTGGCGCAAAGTTGGCGATGGCAGCGACTGCGACTGCGGCTGCTCTGCTGCTGCGACTGCGATGTCAACTGCTATGCCGGCCTTGCGAATCAAAGCGACAACACGCACAGCAAGTGCGTTGGCGACCGGATGGAGGGGGTAGGGACTCGGCTCTTACTTGTCGAGGCAAGGATTGGGTCAGTTGGGGCATCTGAATTGGTGTGGGCGTGGGCGTGGCTACGTTGTGCTAGTTTTCGTCTGTGCACGCGGACAAATCGTTTGCTTGCTACAGCTTGCTTGCCTCATTTCATGGATGTGACACACCAAAACTAAAAACTCAAACAGAGCCCCAGTTCGAGTCCGAGTTCGACTCTCCAATCCGAGTTCGTGTATCTGCCCGAGTCCGAGTCGTGTCTAAGTCTATGTGTGTGTGTACCATGCTGAGTTTGGCTGCGTCCTTCGATTTACGAGCTGTCAGCTGCTTGCCGTTAGCTGTTAGTTGGCCAAGTCCAACGCCCAAAAATTCGATTTCATTTGCACTTTCCATTTCGGATGCGTCCACACAACATGTCTCCCTATCTGCTAATACCCTACACATATTCCTTGACTCCTTTGTTTGGTCCCACTGCCAATACTAATATATGTTTGATTTTACGAGTATGTATGTGCATAACTATGTCTAAGTGATGTGAATACCAATAATTTTCATCGAATACTCGTACGTATTCATACTTATCAAATAATGATTCCATTTAAGTGAGTTTTGCAATTAATTATTTATTTTATTTTTTATAAGTGTTGAATTGGAATCGGAAATGTAATTTATTTTCAGAGATCACTTGTGTCGGGCCGCGGGTAACCGACCGCGGAATGCTCTGATTCCGGTAAAACAGGTGGCAAACGACCTATTTGTGGGGTGGGATTTGGGAGGCAATAGGTCTGACACCGCGAACATTGAATACTCATTATTTTGCCTTTTAATTTTTTAAGGGTACTTTATTGAGGTGCTCCCTAGTACTTTGTCTTCTAAGCTTGGTAACTCGACCTCGTGCAGGCTCTAAGAGCATTAGCTAGTCAGTGTGTGAACATTAATTTGTTAGATTTTACATCAATTTAGAATGCTGACACAATTCGTCCAAAATCCCAAACAAAGCTGTTGCAATAAAAGCCTAGCGCTTCCCTGCATCCCACCTTTCCCCCCATTTCTCTAGAGCTTCTTCGGACTGTAAGAGGGGAGGGGGAGTGTTGGCAGCGTGAAAATGGAGTGGACAACCCGGAATGGGACAAGGATGTCGAGCAATGTCAGGCGATTGTTTTGTGTTTCGAGTGCTTTGCGTGGCTTTGTTTGAGTTGCCACTTGAAACATGGTTTTCAATGGGGGTCTTCGGATTCAGCTTTGGGATTGGGTCAAAATCTGCCCTCAGTTTTTTGGGGCCGGGGTTAATCATTTCGAGTGTATGGTACTTACTTGATATAAATGAAAGCACAAGAATCATATCTATGGTCACTTGAAACCACTTCATCTCATTTCCCTCTGAGCGCTGGTGTTGAGCGTTGTGGGCGTGGCAGCGACGTTGTTGTAGCTGTTGTTACGGTTGTACACAGAGCTCTAACTCTTTGTTGTATGTTGTTTGTTGTTATTGTTATTTTTATTGTTGTTGTTGCTTTGTTTTAGTTGCAGTTGCTTTCGGAGCGGGCACAGTTGCAGCAAGTTTGCTAATGAAAGCACAAATTTTAATTCTTCGTCTTCTGCCTCAGCCCCCCTTTATCCCACTGTATTTGTTTTTCTTGTTGTTGTTGTTGTGCGTTACATGCATCTCAGTTGTTGTTGTTGTTGTTGTTGATTTGGCAGCATATATTTACATGATTTTTATAAATACTTCTTTACAGAATTGAATTCGATACACAAATGTTTTGGCCGTAGTCCATTGTTTGCTTGTTGTCGTTGTTGTAGTGTTATTTAGTTGTTTGGTTACTTTAATTTAATTAAATTAGTTGCATGCTATTTGCGGTTGATGATACTGTTTGTTTGTTTGTTAGTTGCGAATTCTAGTCGGTATATACTATATATATATTCTATATGTATGTATGTATATAAAGATTCTTCTCTATATATGTATACTATGTATACATTTATTCTGTGTATATATATTGTAAATACATATATTTGTTTCTTGGCAGTTTTCGATTAAAATTCTTTTAATGTGTTTTCGTTTATTGGTGGCCTCCGTGCGCCGCTGCTCCTTCTTGTGCTACTCCTGATTGCGATGATGGTCCTTGTCCTGTTGCTCCTTGATGCTTATTGATGCTCCTGGCGTTCTTCCTGCTCATGCTCTTTGCTTTATTATCTGTTGGCCCTTGTGGCTTTGTTGCGTCTTCGCTTCTCTTTTCTTCTCGCTTGTCGGCTAAGAACTGAAAGCTGAAAGCAAATAAAACGTTTGCCGCACATTTAATTAGTGTTTGTTAAATTATTTATGTAATTTTTCTCTTTTAGGTTGATGCTTTTGTTGTTTATTATTAAAAATAATTCTTTCATTGTTGTTCAGAAAGAACAAATGTTGCAAAAATTAACGAGATTTGGCAACATAGAGCTGTAAGCATACTCGACTGTTTGGTGCCCTACCTAACTCGGCTTACTTTGAAATCATTTCAATATTATTCGAATTGCTTGAATTGAATAATGCTGTAAACAAGCTTAGCTGGCTAAGCTGCTGTCTGTGCTCCATATCGCAGGGTATTTGCAAGTAATGCTGCTTGCTTATCCTGTCCGTTGCGGTGCTGGGGCAAAAGTTTGTCAAACTCCAAAAAAGCTTTTGGGCATCACTTGATTCGCTTTTTGTGTTTTGTTCTTCTAGTTGTTCGCATATTTTTTATGCAAATTCATTTTAATTATCACTGTACGTTTTGTGCATCTTTTGGCAGAAATTGAATTGTGTGGCAGCAGCCAAAAACAGCAAGTGAAAACAAAGAAAAAAAAAGAATAATAATATATTAAGATATTAAAATGAAAAATTGTTCCAGGCTGAAAAACATTCTGTGAATTTCAATTTGTTCACGTGGCTCAAAGGCGCTTCGAGGTATATGCAAAGTTTACTTAATTTGTTTTTTTTTTTTGCCGATGCTTTTCCTATTTACCAATGACTTTCGGCATCCAACTAATCTTGCCCACTGTGACGCGTAATTAAATTGATAATGCGAAGCTCTGGTTGCCCTAGTCCTTAGCTTTATTGCTCTTTGAAATGGCCTAGATGAAAATGGTTTGTGCCCCAAAATTTGCTATCTAATCCGAAAGTCTCAAAACATTCGCAGTTGCAAATGTTAATTTAGATATATACTTAGCATAATTACAAATAAATTATATTGTGACCTAAATGTCCCCAAAATGCGGCTTAAATACGGCACAAATCGCTCAAAATTTAATTTCAAATGTTACCCGTGAAAAGCTCCCTCTCTCAAAGAGGGGAAGAGATAGAGAGCATTATTATTATGTATACTGCACTGGAGATAACTAATACATCGATTCAATCGTTAGCGAGCCCATTCAAAATATGAAATATGTTTTGTCATCTTCAGATTGGAGACAGTCTTAAGTTTAAAAAATGAGGAGTTGCAAAAAGTATTATTATAAGCTCTCGTAAAGATTATTATAAGTGTATCGTGAGGGTTGAATTAATTATTAAGTTGATTAATAAATTATATATATATTCTTCATCACTAGTAAAGTCGATAAGGCCATATCCGTATGTCTCTCTGTTCTCTCAGTCCTCCATTTTTTAATCTTTATGAAACTTTACATATATTTGTTATTTTGATTCAGTCAGTGCATATGTCGAAGCCAGATCGAATCGGATATCATACAGCTGCCGTAGGAACGATTGGTTGAAAGATGACTTTTTGTATGAGAAATATGAAACAAATTATCCCAACTAAACTTATTCAATATACGAGTAAATATGCTTCTAACATTTTTACAAAAAAACTATTATTATCGCAAATTTTGATGTCAGCATTTCGATTTCAGTATACAAGGGTATTGAATCTTTCGCTTGCCCAAGATATCCGTCCTTTCTTGTATTCACGATTGATTTATATCTTGTTCAAAACCAGCATAGCTTGTCATTCAGCATAGCTGCTTTGGAATTTCAAATAAAATCAAATATTAAATGTTCATCTTGATCTGGATGTCAATTTGAAGTTTTACAATTTATTTATTGTGTGTGGCATACGTAGCAAGTAGAGACTTTAATTCTCGAACCATCAAATGAGCATTGAAGGCGTGAAAAGCATTTCGGAAGTAATTTGGGAAAATGTCATGCATGCAACGTGGTGTCGTCGGGAAACGCGAACTTCCCCAACCACACCCCACTGCGCTCCTCTTCGCCGATAGCGGCCTTCCACGAACTGTCAAATATTTAAAAGGCAGCCATAGTGGCCTGCAGCCAGGTGGCAGGATGAGAGCACGGGGACTCGACGACAACAACGACACGTTTTTGATGCAACAAAAAATGGCAAGTGTCAATTTAATCAGCCGCACACTTGGCATTGCCCAAAAAAAGAAGAGAGAAAAAAATAAACAGAAAATATGTGCCAGGGGCACCTTTTCGCATCCCATATATACTCTCTGCTCTATCCCCATATACAGAGTTTCATTCCCATTCTTAGGCTTATTCTCGTTCATGCTTTTGTTCATATCGTCCTCGTCGTCAGCCTCATCCTCAACGTGCTTGCCTGCCACTTCAAGCAAAAAGCCAACGTTGACAGTGTCTAAGACGTTCGCTTGGGCATTGTCCTCGCCTGCCTTCCCTTGGCTTCCCTTGCCAGACTGGCTGACTGGCTGGCTGCTTGGCTGACAGCGCAAGGCTTCACTCGTCCTGGCCTGTCCCTATTCTCGCCTGTTGTCTTTTCATATTAAAAGCATTGCAAGTTGCGCATAAAAAAAAAACAATTATATATATACAATATGTATATATATTAATATATATATATGTATATGTATATATATGTATAAGGGAAGGGGAAAATTCGATTTTTCGTCAACGGCGGGTGACAACTTCCGTTAGCAGCGCAAGCATCACAATCTTCTCCCACATTTCTCCTAGTTAGTGGCAGTGGCAGCGGCAAGGGCAGCGCCAGTCATTCACCAGTCTTGACATTCACTCCGCAGTCACCCACAACTCACAACCCTCAACCTCTTTACGTCGCCGCTTATTACGAGCGCTCATTAGGCGGCGCTCGCGGCATGCCAGTCAAAGAGACACGACCCCAACAGCAACATAATGTTGTTGCTGCTATTGTATGTTAGGCATATCAAGTTTTGCATGCAGCTTGCAAGACTCAAGTGAAATATTGCTCAAGCGTTTTTTTTCTTATATGGTAGAATTAATTTGGTCTACATTTAAATCTATTACCCCATCAAACAAATAATTTCTAAATTTAATAATATTAATTAAAGCTGCGCTAAGCTAATGCAAATAATATTATCAATAACTTTTTATTAGTAGTTACTTATTGTTTAAAATGGGATACGCTATAAGAAGATATCAGAAAATTATTTTTTTTTAGTTAAATGTAAACATTTAAGCTTAAAATAATTTGTAATAAAGATTATTGCAGGTCATTATTTTTATTGGTGTAATCCACAAAATCAAAGTATATTCAAAAATAATTTGATAATGGAGTATAAAAGTTGGAAATAAACGATGGTGAATAATCAAAGTCGGCTTATGCAATAAGCTTCGACTTAAGCCCAAAAAACTGAGCGATGAAAAAACCCCTTTAAATCTATGTGACATTTGTATATCTCATTAAATATGTATGTTGTTATGTGTCATGAGGATTTCACAAGAAAAATTTGTAGTTGAAATTGCCGTCACTTTAAATATATATTTAAACATACAGCTAGATAGCTGGCTCCATTTGAATTTAGTTTACGGTTTTAAATGCGAAAGTGTATGGTTTAGATTTGTTTTTCAATATCACATTATGTTCGGTTGAGTTCAGCTTAGTTAAGCTCCATTTGTATGTAGTAGACAATGTATTGTCTGCTTAGTGGTAGTATGTATGAATGTATTTATGTTGAGGCATCATCTTCTCTGAACGGCTCCCAGTATCTCATTCGCATGCTCGGTATCAACTTGAATATTGTTGTTTTGTCTCGGTTGCTGGTGCTGCTGAATTTGCTATTATTACATGCATATTTTGTGTAATGTGTGCTATTAGCGTTCTCAATGAAGTGGAGTTAACAATGTGCTCTGCATTTTTAGTTTGACGATGCTGTTGTTGCTGTGCCATCAACATAATCATCGACATCAACATTTCAAATTGAGCGACGCTATTAACTTTCTCACGCACACACACACACACTCACAAACACACAAAATGCGTTGTGGCTGATCAATTGGCGCTCTTATTTATAAATTGCTTTTAGCTCTTAAAGTCTCTCTCGCTGTCTTTTGCTTTCTTTATCTGTATATATTTATCTATCTCACTTTCAGCTGCTGCTGCTACTGCCAAAGCCACGGCCACGTCCCACTGTGCTGTCCTTGCCGTTTGGCGCTTGACGTTTTGCCGTTTGCTGTTCGCGTCTTTAATGTTGCCTACTTTTTTTATGCACAGCTCGCTGTCGCATTTTTGCAATGTTATCCCTTCGGTTTTTGCTCTATGCTCGTTTTCGTTTCGCTTTTGCCTGCCATTTTGGCTCCTTGTCTTGCTTCTTGCTTTGCAGCACTTGGCTGCCTCTTCGATTGCCTTGCCTCGGTGTCCTTGTCCTCGTCCTCGGCCTCGCTGTCCTCCTCGGCCTTACGCTTTTTCCT